TTAAAATTTAAAAATAAAATTATTTTATTTGATAAAATAAAAATTATTATTAAAATTCTTGGAATTTGGAAAAGGGGTTTTATAGGACTCAATTTTCCTTTCCAATTTTTCAAGAGATGAAATTTATGAAATTACTTAATTTTTTTAATAAAATATCAACATTACGTAAGTGTTTTTTTTTCTTCAACCCCAATTACAAGAACTCATTTTAAATTTTATTTTTTAAAATTTGTTCATGTTATTACTAACATTTATGCATTTTTATAAATTTAATGGCACTTATATTACTTTTTTTTTCAAATTTTTTATTTTTCCACATTATAATTTCAAATTTCTCATCTATTAATTTAAACTTTCTTATTCAAAAAACATTATTCTAATTCAACTATCTTCTTATTTTTCTGCTCCAATGATTAAGATGTATTATAAATCAGGTCATATCCATCCGTTTGTAATGATTTAAATATTAACTTAAAAACCATTAGCGTTATTAAACTCGGTTGATACTTTTAAAAAAATTTTAAAAAATTATTAAATTATTTAAAAGTAATTTTTATATTAACATTTTAATATTTTAAAATATTTTATAATTAAATTCAAATAAAAACTTTTTATTAATAAATAATAACTTGGGCCAAAAACAACCCTTAAAATTCATGTCTAGGCCCAAACCCAGTCAGGTTCAACCTGTGTGGACAAGTCCAATTTATAAATAAAATTTATTAAATTTTTTGAAATCTCTACAATATCATATAAATGATGTTTATCTATCCCTGGAATGATAAATTTCATCCACAATCTCCTACCTTTTTTTTTTTATTTTATTTTAGTCATTAATCTTTGATTTGTTTCATTTAAGTCACAAACACTGTAAAATGATTCCTTTAGCATGCTATAACTTATGTAGTACGTCACGTGGACTCTTTATTGATACGCCAAATTGTTATTTCTCTCAGCTATTAATAATTACATCTTCAAATAATCAAAATAAACAACTTTAAAAGGTTAAAGGATCTAAATGAAGCATTCCAAAAAGTTAAAAACTGAAATGAAATTAAAATAAAAAATTGGAGATTGTGGATGAAATTTAATGGTGAAAAATAATATTTGTAAGTTACTTTCGACTTACTTTCAATTCTAATTTTAAAAATTTATTTATCATAACAATAAAATAAGTTCTCTATTTATTTTAATTAAATTCAATATATGCAGAATTATTTTGGAATATTACAAAATTATACACATTTAAACTTAATTCTTTTTTACTTTTACAGTTTTACTATTAGAGGTTGTTAAACATTTATAATATAAAAATAAAAAATTAATAGAAACACCTAATTTAAAATTTTTTGCTTAAATTTCCAACGAAAAACCAAAAAATAATGTATATTTAATTTGAAACAATAAAAGTAATATATTGAAGGAAACCACGCAACTAATAAAATTAAATTAAAAAAAAAAAAACTTAGGGGACAAATATCAGGTAAGGGTTGACAAAAGTTACATATGATCAAGATTAATGATAAAGACTGCAAAGCTAAAAAGGCAAAGGGATCAACCAAAGCATAAAGAAATTATCGCTTACCTGTAATATACAAGAATGAACTACTCTTATGTACGATCAAATTAGAAAAAATAAAGTTTAGGTTAGTTAATATAACTATTTTAAAGAGGAATCAACGTTCAACATGTTTTTATTAAATATCAGTGTTTGTAATTTTTATTTTATTCTCATATGTAAGTTATTTGTAGCAAATTTTACCAGTAAGGCTGAAGTGGTCCAAACACTTAAATTTTTTTTTTTTTTGGCCTTATTTAAAGAACTTGTAGGTTAGGTAATACAAAGTCAATAAGATTGTAATTAAGCAATATTGGAAATTTTTTTTTTTTTTTGGTGCTAAGCAGTATTGGATTTAAACACTGACATTTCTTCAGCTTTAAAAGATTGTTCTTTCTTCTGCAATGAAAAACTAGAAAAAAATGTTAAAGGAAAAGGAAAGAAAAGCAAAGAAATGGTTTCTTTATTCGACGGAGATAAAAGAAAAATCTTCATAACTCATAATTAAGTAGTGGTAGTAGTAGTTTTAATTTCCTTTCCTTTTTAAAATTAGTAAACTTACAACTAATCTTAGCCTTGTACTTCTTAATCCTTTTGGGGTCGGCTATTTATTGCTTTTGCTTCTACAACTGTGGAATGCCTTTAGCCTCATTGCTTCTCTCTCTCTCTCTCTGTCTCTCTCTCCATTTCTCTATTGTCTCTGATAAGCCAACTTTTAGGCTGTTGCAAGGCGGGCAAAAAAATGGGTTGCAAGTCATCTGACAAGCCAAAAGCTAAGCACAGGAAGGGCTTATGGTCACCTGAAGAAGACCTAAAGCTCAGAAACTATGTCAACAAACATGGCCATGGTTGCTGGAGCTCTGTTCCCATCAATGCAGGTCATTCGTCATTGCTCTCCTTCATTCCTTGTCAGATACTAATTTGTAGCCTTCAATGGACCAAATGAAATTAGAAAGAATGAACCCTTTGTTATATTGACATTGAGTCCCCTGCAATATTCTAATATTTTATTTCTATCCGAGTGCATTATCTATGGCATTCAACTTAGAGGGTTACGTCTGCTGTTTTGATTACTGAAATGCACCTGGGTTTTTCCTTGCTTTGAGAGTAATTTATCTAACTCATGCTTGTTTCTATATTTTGACTCGTGCCAACATTAGAAAATGGGAATTGGAGTGGGTTTGGTTTTACCAGTGACTAACCGACACTGGCAATAGAGAGATTCAATCATTTATCCCAAAAAATAAAAATAAAATAGAGTGATTCAATGTAAGATTATGCCATGTTTCTGGACCAAGTTGTTCTTTTTTTACTTTTCTTCTAATTATTAAAGAAAAATTTTACTTATGTGTCATGGAATAAAAATTTCACTACCTTTGTTTGCCTGTCTGCCTAAGACACGCAAGAATTTTTGACTTACCATGTTTCTGGACCATGTTGTTCTTTATTTTACTTTTATTGTTGCGTGTGAGAAAAGAAAAAGAAAGAGAAATTGAATGAGATTGACGATGACTTCCATTTCAAAATGACTAAGATAACCTCTCAACAGTTCACTCTAGTTTTGGTCTGATGAGTTGTAAACTTGGAATTTTACATATCCAGGTTTGCAGAGGAATGGGAAGAGCTGCAGATTAAGGTGGATAAATTACTTGAGACCAGGATTAAAGCGAGGGATGTTTACTCCACAAGAGGAGGAGACAATCCTGACCCTTCATCATTTGTTAGGCAACAAGTAAGCAAGAAAGGCTGTTCCATTTACTACTACACCTGGCTGTATTCAGTTGATAGCATTATGATGAAAACAATGATGCTAAGAAAATGGGATTCTTGCCAACAAAAGCTTGTTGATTCCTTCCATTTAATAATAATATTCCTGAACAATTGTCATCAACCATGAAAGCAGGCATTTGATAGAACAATTATTCTCTGTTTTCCAAGGAACTAACTAGGATGACTTTTTCTTTTTGTTGACTAGGTGGTCCCAAATTGCACAAAATTTGCCTGGAAGAACTGATAATGAGATTAAGAACTACTGGCATTCATATCTGAAGAAGAGATTCGCAAAAGTTGAAGAATTGGAAGCTCAGACGAGAACTCAATACACCACCTCAAGCTCAGAAAATACAGAATCTATTCTGTCTCCTCAAAACCTCACAGACCGAATGCCAAGCTTTGAATCCATCCGGCACATTGAAAAATCATCAATAAATACTGATCAAGCTCAAAGAAGCCCACTGCCAAAGCTTTTATTTGCAGAGTGGCTATCGCTAGATCATGAAGGTGGAAGCTTCCCAAATTCAGGTAAGCCAGTGGCTTCCTCTGATGGATTTAATCATGGTTCAAGTTCAAACTTCCAGGACCCCTTCATGAATGCATATTTATTAAATGAGGGAGTATTTGGCAGCTATCTTCATGATGGACTAAGCAATGCATCAGTAAATGAAATGTTTAGCTCACAATTCAAGTTTGAAACCCAGATTTCAGGAAATGAGTTTGTCGGTTCTATATCTGGGAATGACATATGTAGTGATTTCAGTATGAACAATGATGTAATGTACATATAAGGGCATCTTTACATGGCAACTTTCAAGGGAGAATAACTTCTAATTATACTTATTATTATATCAGCAGATGTTAACGAAAAACAAGAATAAGCTACTTTCTTTCCATTATAGAGACCTACCCCAAATGGGCTACAAGGATCAAAGTTTAATTAGTTGTTATTCTCCCATGAAGTTGTTCTTGGAGTACCCTTGGTTGTATCAAAGTGCAGATTCCAAGGGATTGTATCTCGATGTTGCTTCTTTGTTAATAGGAAAACTTTTTATGTTCTAAAATTTTCTGATTCCTTTTCTTTGTGCTTAATCATTTGGTTGACATTTTTTTTCCATAAGTATTTTAAATGGAAAAAAATTAGAGACAGGCTACTACATCTATCAGGTTATATTACTAGATCATCATTCAGAAGAGTAGAAAATTTTTTACTTCTATTGACTTTCTAAATAAATCCAATGTTTAGAAAATTCAATTGCAGCAGCACTGCCATTTTACCAGGCGTCCGTAAGTGGAAGGAGCCAAAATTTGCCTCACCTCATCCTCACGTTTACTGATATCCATTAACCATTAGGCCATGGAGGCTGTGTTTGTCCTTCCAATGAGCCCAGATAGTACAATAATTCACCCAAAAGTCAATGAATTAGGTCCTTGAAGTACTTATATAATTCATAATTTATGCAACTTTGACCAAAGACTTGGGCTTTATGGTTCAGGTTCTGGCGTCATGGGCGGCATTATGGAAGCGTCAGCTACATTGCAGCAGGTAATCCAACCAAACTAGCATTATAGCTTGATGAAAACTTGGATTAGAAATTGATCCAGAAATCAAAAGGTCAAGTCCACCAATTTCAAAAGCAATAACAATTTGCCAAACACCCTCTTTACTGTTTCATTTTGAGGTCTGTTAATTTACATCTAAATAAATGTTGAAGCATACTATATGAAGAATATAACATACATGATCGTCATGGTTTTACATGCAATTACAAGCTCCATGGTATAGATATTTTAAGTTCTTGCGGTGAATCAAGCTTCTTCGATCCTTTTGGCACCTTGGCTTCATGCTTAAATCTCCTATATCCTGGCTCTAGGATCTCTACAAAGTTGATATTAAGAAGTCGTCTGTAAAGATTAGGCCAACCCATAAAAAAACTGAAGTAACAATAGCAATGATTGTAATGGGCATCCATATCAACGCAATTGCCTGCTAACAAAGATAAAAGTTAGAAGTTGCAATAAATTTGAACAAAAAAATCTTGGAGAAATAAAAACATTTTGCCTTGTCTCAGACAAATTTTAGATGTTTGATGCATTTCAATCCAATTAACATACCTCAAGCCGTGGAGAACCCCAAACTTGGGAGGAGGTCAGAGGAGTAGCTAGTGTCTCAAATATTTCTGTATAAAACAAAAATTATATATATGCTCTCTTGGTGTTCATTATTCATTAATCAATGAAGCAGGAAATTCATTAGCTCGAACACTAGCATATGCACATAGGTAGACTAACCTGAATTTCGTCTTCTTTCTATAATATCAGACATGTTTTCAGTAATTATATCTAGTTCTTGGCAACGATTAGCATTCAGCTTTGATAGATTCGTTTGTGTTCTTGTATCAATATATTGCTTTCTAATATTAGCAATAATACTATCTGCAAGCCAAAGCAGATATCAGGAGACGAAATAAAAAAAAAAAACAAACTGGTTTCCAGCTTGATTAATGTTGGAAAGAAAAATGGAAACGTTGATATCAAAGCAATATGTTGATAAGTTTGGTCGGGTTGATTAACAATCAAATGTCATAACTACTTCAAAATTGCTAATATGAGCTGTAAACCAGTTACTGGGGATATTACCGAATCTAATAAAGCTGTATGGTGTTGTTATTTTCTCTATGAGGCTACGATCAAACTTGTCAAACTCCTTTTGCAAATCCTGCAGATAATGGAAAGCTAGTTTTCTTGGATAGGAAGAATCGCACAATGTGATGAACCAGATTCCATTCACGACCAAATAGCTTAAGGTAAAAGGGAAAATGGTCAAGTAAAATAGTAGAAAATGATTTAATGGATGATGTGGTGCTTTAATTTCTTGGTTCTGACATATATCCGAGGATATTTATTAAGCAAAGAAGATATAATCCAAATATATATGGAAAATGTTATCTGTCATATGTTTCTTAGTGGCTTTGGCTCAAATTAAATCTAGTAATTAGCCTTTAACCGGATAATTAGGAATCATCGTTTGCCTCAAAAACTTATCAAAATGGTTTAAGTTGCATGCATCAAGAAATGAAAGTATGAACATAATGTAATTTTTGCATAATTTACAGAAAAAGAAAAAAGTACTTGAAAGAATGGTGATCAACGCGGATGGTCATGTTGGAAGGTGGTAAGGCTCCTCTGGAGATTTCTTTCAGTATGAATTCTGCTTGTTGCTTGTAATTAGATGAGAAGTTGTCGTTCTCTTTGTTCAAGTGCCTTGCCCCTTGTGCCAGTGGCAACCCGTCATTCACCCTTCCAACCATTGTTAGCTTAACCATTTCCCACGCCAAATTCTCCTCCTTGATAAATTATTATATTTATGAAACAAAACTTAACTTGTCTCACGCTCAATGCTCCCCTTATATATAGACACATTAGGGTAGCCAAAGCCTCTTTTGAAGGCAAAGAAGATATATATGGAACTTAGACTTGAAGTCATTCCCTTTGGCTATGTGCAAAAGCGAAAGAAACCCAGTTCGGTGGTCAAGCAAATTGCAGGGGTGGCAATCAAGCATGAGAAAAAAAGTTGAGTTTAATACGGCTTGCTGTGTTTGAAATCCAGCAGAGTGTTGATTAATTGTAAATATTTATGATTTCTTTTGCATTCTTGTAATTAGTCACGCCTAAGTATTAAACTAGATTTCGAACCAAAATGGTGATATTTCTATTGAATTTAAGAGCATTATTCCCACCATAATATATATATAATCATTTGACATCAGATAATAATATTGTCTAATCTAATACAAGGACTAATCATATTGATTATCTAATCAATTCACCTGTTTATAAAAAATGATGGACAATTTTATTTTATATCAAACTTTAAGTATTTTATTGATAATGTATAAATCATTATTTTCATCAAATTAAGGCTGAAAATTAACTATCAGTGACTTTCATCAAATTTTCATTAATCGGTCATGCCACCAAACTTAATGGATTTCATACGAATTCTCAATTATAAGCGGTATCCATTGTTCAAAATTGATAAAAGAAATTATAAGTGATATCCAAAGTTTCAAACTATCTATTGCGCTTTCAAATGGGTAGAAACGATCTAGACTGACTGGGCCCTTTTATTTTGGTCCACCCAGAATTAAGCCTTCAAGAGGTTTGGACTTTCAACTCCAATTAATCTTATTTAATTTTATTGGGTTAATAAGCTACTGGGCCCTTATGAGGTTTGGGCTCTTAATTAATTAACTTATTGCACAAAGTCCTTTCTTCTTATTGGATTAATTGAAGCATTTATTTATGGGCTAAATAGCTTGCCATTTTATAAATGATTCTCTTGTGCTACTTTCATTCAAAATTTTAATGCATTCTACTCTTTAGTCCAATTCTTCAATTAAATTATTTGAAGCTCGAATTAATTCTTCAATTAATTGATTTGATGCGGAAAAATTACTGGGATCAAATGGTAATTGGCCCCGGACAGTTACAAGAGGTTTTCTGGTTTTTTCCTTCGTTTCCTTGCATTATCAATGCGATGATAGTTATTTCAAGTTTTAACACGTACCATATACGAATTAAAGAAAAGACCTTTTTTTTCAGTTTCATAGATTGATTGACAAAACAATCATGTTCATCTGCTAAGCATAGAGTTGTGTGGATTTCAGTTTGGATGTTGGTCAATACCCAGCTAGGTGATATATAGTATAGCTGCAATGGAAGGATAATGTCGAGTACCTATCAACCCAGCCCTTTGTCTATTCAGTGTTTGACGGAAGATAAACTGTTCATTGCTGTGCCCAAAATGCACTTCCCCCTAAAAAAGAGTATTTGGTAAAGTTTGATGGAAGCTCTGAAGATCTTCCCCTGATAGGCTGCCTGCCCTATATCACCACTTGTTCACACACCCTCATTTGCCCTCGTATAAGTTCCAAACAAACCCGCCGAACTTAGCTAGTTACTGATCAACTTTCTCTCTCTTTTTCTTTTTGTTCCCAATTAAGAATTTTCCCCCTCTTTTTCTCATACTAATTTCTTTCTCTTCATGTTTTCTGTACAGGAAACTTCCTTTCCAAAATTTTTGACTTTGTTTGTCAAGAAAATTCCTCTGACAACAAGACAAAGCTATTTTTTCCCCCTAGAAAGTCACAACTTTTCTCTCCGTGAATAGCTAGTTTCCCACCAACTCAAAGTTCTTTCATTCTCTACTAAATCAATTCTGTAGCTCTTTATGATGCTCTTTTCTCTGCTACTTTAGGTTCTATTCACGCCAGTTTCCTTCATTATTTTTGTTTTGATGAAGCCGGGCTTGCAGTTGCATGTTCTTGAAGACGAGTACAGCACTAGTAAAACCAAGGTGTCCTTGACTGCGAGATTGATCTCTTTATTAACATATCCTTGGCAGCATTTAAACCCGGGATCAGGTTTCAGTGACAAAATCTTATCTATTGATTCTATTTTCACTTCTCTCTTTTTATCTCTCTTAGTGTCCATTTGGATTTCGCCGGACCCCCCATTACAATTGAAGTTTGTGCTAATCTCACTGTACAGTGTAAAAATTTTCATTTGGTTTCATCGTCATAGCACGATTGATACCAGTTTTTCACTGGCCAATTTTAGTCCAGTGGCCAACTGGGCTTTCATTCGTTTTTCTTTTTTCCTTTTTATCCCTTAGTTTTTATTGTAAATACAAAATTACTCTTATAATTTAATTCTTTTCTTTTCTCTTGTAATTTTTATTTAATATTTTGAAATAATTTTAATTTAATAATAAAAAATATTATTTAATATATTATTTTTTATTAATTATTTATTAATTTTATTAATAATTTGAAATCTTTATTATATATAATTTTTAAATTATTGTCTTTAATAATAATCTTTTATCTTATTAAAATTTATTTTATCATCATCACTATATTTATATTCAAATATATATTTTTATCATTAATTTTAATTTTATCACTAAATAACCAATCTTATTATTACTATTATTTTTAATTTCATCGGAGCTAAATTCACCGCCGTCTAAATCGACCTTTATTGAATTATTCTTGGTTCTTAAAATTGATATGGGTATGCTTTATGTGAATGAAGTTAAGTGAAGGAGATGGGAAGAACACCTTGCTGTGACAAGAAAGGAGTGAAGAAAGGGGCATGGACTCCAGAGGGAGACTAATTGTTGGTTCAATACATCAAGGAACATGACCATGGTAGCTGGCGTACCCTTGCAATGTTAGCAGGTTTCTCTCCCTTCTTGGTTCTTTTTTCTTTTTTCTTTTCTATTAGCTTTAGTTTTTACCTATATTTCCAAAAAGAAAATGGAAAAAAAAAAAAAAACGAACTTCACATGATTCTGCTAAGGAGAGCAGGAAAATTGGCTATTTTGGTCCTTGCTGAAGCTTGAAAGTGTCAAAGACACAGTTTTCTCTGTTGGGGGTGTCATCGAAATAGAAAGGAGACAGAGGTTTTCTCTCCAGGGAATCTAATTTTCTTTTTATATTGCTGATTCTTTCGATGCATCTGCAAGCTATGAATATATGTGGGGCTCTTTTTTGAAGTTTGATCAATGCTGTGTATCAAAGCACGTGTGCAAGTGTAACTGCAATTTTCATATACTTCTAATTAACATCCGTAAGTGGACTTTAATAGCTCTAACCCCCACCTGAATCCATTTTTGTTAGGGCCTATTATCTTCTGGCAAAGCTTAAAACACTTTATGCCCTGAATCCCTTCCGTTTATGGAGTTTTGCTGGACAGTTTATAAGCCATCTAATTTTGATATGCTGACCTTTCTTTGATTAAATTAAGCCAATATAAATTCTGATTCCTCACGAGATATTCCCAGTTCATTCGTTTACTTACTTTTTGATTTGAGTGCGAGGAAATTTTAAACACATTTAATGGATTTATCAAGGTTTGAGTGGGAAGAGCTGTCGGCTTCGGTGGGCTAATTATCTTCGCCCTGACATCAAACGAGGTCCATTTTCTTCTGAAGAAGAGGCTAGTATAATCAGGCTTCATGGTATGCTTGGTAACAGGTATTGCAATGAGTGGCTCTTTTTTTTCTTTTCTTTTACTTATGTTTGTCTGATTCACTTCATTGGTACGCCACAAGCTGCAAGAAGATGACGAAATAGTTTCCATCCTGGTTATTTTCAATGCGGAGTTTCTAGAGTTTTGTTGTATCTAAAAACCACCAACCTCTCTCTGATAAGAATTGGAGGTCAAAACTCAGAAGTCCTTGGTAAGAAAAATATGACTAAGCATATTTCTTTAAGAAGATCAAGAAGAGCTAGTTTGGTTTGTGTACAAATATGGTTGTAGTAAAGAGGAACACTTTAGCTCGCTTTTGCTGCTTGTTGTGTTCTGGAATTGTTTGGACAAGTAAGCTTGTTTTTTCTCACAAAAAAACTTATCATGATGGCAAAAGCTAAACTTTTCCTCCCCGTTCTTGGAGGCTTGGAGGGCATCTCCCCTGTCCATAGTTTATGCTGATTTAGACGGTTATTGGCAAACCGACTCAATGGAACTTTTTTCTTAGCCCGTCCATTACTGTTAAATAACCACCATTGCACATAAAAAAAATATTTGGCCTTCATATTTGAGATATATTTTAGCATCTCTCAACTCAAAGAAGACTAAATGACTACTGATTTTACCACTTTCCAGGTGGGCTGCTATGGCATCTCATCTGCCAAGAAGGACAGATAATGAGATCAAGAACTTCTGGAACACCCATCTTAAGAAGCGCCTCCTTTCCACAGGCAAGATACCGAAGACCTCCTTGTACTCTTCCACCGGTGAAGGAAGCACTATAAAATCTGAGTTACCTTCAACCCGCCACACCGTGCAATGAGAAAGTGTCAGGCTTGAGGCTGACGGCCACTTGTCAATGGAATCATCAATGCTGTATTCCTCATCAACAGTTAAAACCGAATGTGACATCTTTCTAAAGTTATGGAATTCTGATGTTGGCAAAAAATTCGGAAACACTGCTAAGCTTCCTAAGAAAGAAACAATTGAAAGCCCTATGTCCCAGGCAGATTCATCGACAAAATTTGAATCAAATTCATATATCACATGTGAAGAAAGACCCACCATTACCTGCGGTTCTGACACAACCCATGAACAGGTTGATAGCTGTAGGCCAAGTTTAGACGTTGGCTTCTTCAGACTCCATCAGCTCCAATGAATTTTCGGATTCATCATCTACAGCACAGAAGATGCTGTTAGATCTACCTAGTGGTACTGGTATGGAATTCTTACAAGACCAAACAGATAATTTTGCAACCTTTCTTGACCTTCAATGCGATTGAATGGCAATTTTTTTTGGTCTTTAGTACCAGTAGAAGAGAAAATTCTTAAGCTAGTGGTGCTTCTCTTTGTTAGTTTTGGCTATCTAAACTCTTGTATATAGGCTTCATCTATAGTACTCTTTTTGGCCTTTGGGAACATTCGGCTAAAAGGAGGTTAAAACTTTGAATATAGCAGGTTGCTTTATTCTAAGTTTGCTCTGCCCACAACTTCTAAGAAATAAAAATGAGCCTAAAATAGGATATTGAAAAAGTGCCTAACTAAAATTCAAGTTTGTGGCCTACGAGTCTGTAATTAATGTTTTTTGTTCTCCATCCAGCATACCGGAACAAGGCTATGTACTAAAAAGCACTGCTGTATCTGGGATAATCCAAAGAATAGAAAGCGAAGGTACTTATTTTTATGTAACTTTGGCCTTGGAAGATTTTTGCAGAGGCTTAACATATTTTATTCAACATTTAAAAGTGCATCAACAGGGGTTTCATTAATTTAACACTTGTACTTAATTGACTGAATTTTGCACCATGAATAACTTTACATGGTAATCTTCCATAGCCATTAAGGAGCTAAAATTTAAAATTGCAGCATAGAAGTCACTAACAGTTGCCATGGGGCATTTTATCCATGCTAAAACTATCCAAAAAAAAAAAAATTCTGGATTGTTGCACTTCCTGGACTTTATGCTATGCAAGATTATAGAATTTAAATGTACTTCATTCCATAACCTTCATGACTCAATATTATTACATCAAACCTTTTTTTATTACAAATTCAGTAAGTAAATTTCACCAAATGGTATATATACACACATATAAAAATACATACAACTGCATACAGAACAATGAACAATGGCCACTGCTTCAACATAAAAATCAAACAAACACATTTAAAATTGGCAAATGACCTCTTAAAAAGAAAATATACAAATGACCCAATTTTCTAATCCAGACTTTTTGAGGAATTTTATCCTCAAAAACAACCAATGATCTTCTTTGGAGTAGTTCCCGTGGCACGGTACTTTGCAGCGGACTCCTCTGCCTTGAGAAGATCTTCCCCACGCTTTGCTTCAACGATTGCCTTCTTCTCTTCGGCTTCCTTGTGGATTAAGGCCACCTTGTTTTTCACTTTTTCCACGTACTCAGCCTTCTGCTTCTCTAATTTTTCCTGCTCATGCAATAAGATTTAAGAATAAAATCATTGTTATGCTTCAAAATCACATATCAACCTCCTTCTCAAAGAAAAACTGAATTAATACCTCAATCTTTTTCAGCTCAGCCTCCAGAGCTGCTTTCTTGCTATTCTCCCAAGCCGCAATAGAAGAAAGCTTTTTCTGAGCTCTGCCCAACAATTCCAATAAGCTCAAGTTCAGTAACATAAAATCCTAACAAAATTAAATAAAAGACCCAAGCTCAAAGTTCAATTTCTTTTTTTTTTTTATAAGAATAAAGGACTTCATCTAGAACAACGTAGCCACAAAATCTAAACCGAAAGCTGTTAAAAAAGCATTACTATTATTGCATGTTATGCAAAAATTAATATGAAGTTTCCGGATATTTTCAAAGAAAATACAACTTAAGGAAAGACCCAAGTGAAGAAAATTCATACTTGTTCTCAGCTTTGCTTTTTTCACTCTCTTCCCAAGCTTTGATTAGTGAAATTCGCTTCTCTGTCGCAACTCTAGCAAGCACAGCATCTGGACAAACAAACCAGAGGGAAACTTTCAATTTAATCATATGAATTATATTTACAGGGACATAGTTAATCAATAGTACGATTGAGGAATTACCTCGATTAACAGAACCCTCCGTGCTTTTCTTCTCAGTCGATTCCGCCACCTCTGCCATAAACACCAAAATTAAAAGGAAAAAATTAATTATAAATATATTAAATTGACAAAAAGACAGAGAGAGAGCAAATTAAACCGAAGGGGAAAAAAATAAAAAAGTAAAAAGCAAGAGAAGCAAGACTGAAAAGGGAAAAAGAAGGGATATACTTTCGACGACTGCGAGTTCCGTAGACTCAGCACGCTTTTCTTCAGTAGGAGGAGGTGGAATTACGGATTTTTCCTCGGCAACGTCTGGAGGAGCGTCGGCTGGTTCGGGAGCAGGCGGCGGAGGCTGTGAAGGAGTTTCGGTTTCAACCTTCTTGGGTTCTTCCTCTGCCATGTGTTATTGCTAAAATCCGGTGACAAGAATCCTTAAAATGACAAAAAGTTATGACAGGGAGCGTTAGGATTGGAAACAGAAAATAGAAAAAAAAGAGAATTAAAAAGAGAAGAGACTGCAGGGGAGGTTGGTTGAGATATTATAGTTGGGGGAGTGTAACTGTAGCTTCTTCGATTGACTGAGCTTAGCTGGACGGTAGGTACAAGTGGTCTACTATGCGTTGGCAGAGTGTGACTGAGGCCAAGCTTTCAGCTGTTCCTATCTTTTCTAAACAGCATCATCAACAAAAAAATAAGTTTCGGACTTTCTGGGTTGTTTCCTATTGAAAGGTGAAAGTTAATGGCCAGGAGAAAAATATCTTTTTGTTGGCTTTTTCATTGAAAGTTATGCGAATTTTTTTTCTGATATAGGATTTTTTTATGGTTTATGGTGTAGTGACAAGTGTCACAATCATGTTTTAATCGAGATTTTAGCTAAAATAATTTATCTCCAGATTCTTATCATTGATTCATTCTTGGATTTCGTGGTAGAGACGAAATCTTTGTGGGCCAACTTTGGAAAATATACTACCAAGTATTTAACACAAGACAGAATTAATTCGCAACGCCCAAATCTTTTATCAAAAAACGGCACGCTCGCCAAAGACTATGGAGAAGGGAACGCCTCAGGCCCTTAGTCAATAAGAAGACTGCGTAAAGACACGCTCCTTAAAGGAGAATGAACAATTTGGACTAATCCCACTATTGGAAAAAAGGTGCTATTTTGTGAAATGTACTGAAAATTGAAATTAAATTACTATAATTATGAAAGAAATACCCTTTCGCAGGTTTTATGGATAAATTTTGGGTTAATGTTTCAAACTAATTAAACCAAAATCATTTATTAAAAAACTTATATACATTTATTTCACACACTCATATTATATATATTTTTAATATTTTACTATCACAGTTTTAATACTTTTCACTTAAATCCTCAAAATAAAAAGTGAGTGTATGAAATATGTGTATAAGATAAATGAATGTAACATTATCTTTTATTAAATATTTTATATATATAGAAATTACTCTGAATTATCAAGAAAAAACTGTTAATACATGAGTTGAAGGATATAATGGTTAATTATTGATTAAAAAAATTTAAAAAAAGTTGGAAAACTTTGTGCATTAGGACATTTGTATCAATCACTATCTCATAATTCTCCGCTATGAAAGTAATCTTATCGTAGAATAGGCTCAATATGTCTTCTTCCTCCCCCTTTCCTTCTCCCTCTCCCTCCACAGAGGAAATCGCAAAGCTTCACTGTAGCACCAAAAAGGTTAAAGGTAACCAAATCTTAGGTGACAACGAGCTCCCCACTCCAACTCGCACTCTGTGTTAATCTGTAAGGACTCTCTTTTAGGGGCCAGTTAGGGGCTTATTACCAACTTTCCTCCCAAGAGACACTATAGAAAAATAGATCTTTAGTGATTATATATATATATATATATATTTATTAGCATTTATAAATATTATTAAATGATTTACGATGTTTATCACAAGCATAATTAAAAGTGCTGCCTATACTTACATAAAAAAAAAATAGTACCGTTTTAGAAAAAAGGTCACAAACTTAACAATTTTTTTTTTAATACTGTTAAAAGAAAATTTAGTGATGTTTGTGTTAAAATATCGCTAAATTAATAGTAATGTTTTTGGATACAAATACCATTAAATTAGTAATATTTTTTTGACATAAATGTCTCTAAATTAGAAAATTTTTTTTAATATTAACTATTATAATTAAATAAAAAAATAGATAAATATTTTTAAATTCATTAAAATGAATTTAAATTTATAAACTGAATGTTATAAATATTTAAATATCTAAATACATAATTTTTTGCAATATATATGTAAGACAAAGTTTAATACATTAATATTCAAATTTTTCAGTACATTAACTAAAAATTTAAAATGTATGAAATTGATGACAACTTAAATTTTGAGCACTATCATTTAATGAACTATTTTTTCCACCACAATCACTAATTTGCTTAAGAATCTATTGAAAAAAGTAAAACAAATTTTTACACTTAACAATAAGCTATTTATAATATTAAAAAATATAAATATTTACTAAATATAATACCTGAGTTGGTGGACCACCTAAATTGTTCCCTGAAAATTATTGTTGTATAAAATTCATAAGAGTATTGAATCGATCATGTAACTGCTGACGCTCATCATCCATTTTAACAAGTTTCTTAGTTCTTTATGCTTTCATTCGCTGAACACGTTGTTGCATAGTTTATAATCTCTCTCTCAATATTGAGATTTCTCGCAAAGATTGACTTGCTAATAATGTAAATTGTTGTAAGCTATTTTCATAGTAGCTAAATGGTTTGACCCAATCTAAGCCCTCGGACCAATCCATGTCTTTCTTTGCTAATAATGTAAATTGTTGTAAGCTATTTTCATAGTAGCTAAATGGTTTGACCCAATCTAAGCCCTCGGACCAATCCATGTCTTTCTTTGTCAGCAACTTCTGTAAAAATTCAATCTTTCAATTTGTGCACATTGATAGAATAATCGGATGCTACTTAAATCTTAATGGTCATTTTCTCTTTTGTTTTCTCTTGTAAATTAATCAAATAAAGCTATTGAGTTTAATAATTAATTCATAATATATTTGAAATAATAAATATTTACTTTTTATATAAACGAATCCAAAAAATATCATAATTTCTTATGTTTCGATATTTAGGTAAGATTTTATCTTTTTTTACGTGGGTTAATCAAAAAAGTTTCTCACGTCTACTTTTTTCACCTAACTCAATTTCCTACATAAAAAAACACTATTATTGTTAAACACATATCAATCATAACTTATTTATGTGTATCAAGCATGACGATAATGATCTTAATCTCCTATATAAAAAATATTATTATTGTTAAACACACATCGACCATAACTTATTTATGTGTATCAAGCGTGGCAATAATGATTAGACACATGTAATATCATGTAATAAAAGCTATCTAAACTGTTAAAACAGAACAACAATTATAAATTTGCATTTTTGCTTTTTAACATTATAAAAAGTCCTAAACAGACATAAATATTAACTTATTCATAAATATTAAATCGTTAAAATCAAGTTCAATCATTTGGACAAGTTTAATATCATGTATTTAAGTCACCTAAATTGTTAAAACATAAATATAATTGTAAAATTATATTTTTGCCTTTAGTGGTACAATAAAGTCTGAAAAAGACATAATGATATCTTTTTCACACATATCAATCATGAAAACTAATACAATCATTTAGATAAGTTTAATATAATGCATTGAAGCTATCTAAACTGTTAAAATAAAATAATAAACACAAATTTGGATTTTGACCTTTTAACGGCACAAAAAAATGCTAAACAGACATAAACAATAATTTTTTCACACCTATCAATTGTGAAAACCAAGTTCAATCATTCGAAAAAATTTAATATTATGTATTTAAGTTATTTAAATTGTTAAAATATAAATATAACTGTAAAATTATATTTTTACCATTTAACAGCATAATAAAATCCTAAAAAGACATACACGATAACATTTTCATACATATCAACCATGAAAATCAAGTTCAATTATTCAAACAAGTTTAATATCATGTATTGAAGCTATTTAAATTGTTAAAATAAAATAATAAATAAAAATTTACATTTTTACCTTTTAACAACATAAAAATGTGCTAAACAAATGTAAACAGTAATTTTTTCACATCTATCAATCGTGAAAATCTAGTTCAATCATTCGAAAAAGTTTAATATCATGTATTTAAGCTATCTAAACTGTTAAAATATAAATATAACTGTAAAATTATATTTTTGCCCTTTAACGACCTAACAAAGTCTTAAAAAAACATATAAAGTAATATTTTCACACATATCAGCTATGAAAATCAAGTTTAATCATTTGAACAAATTTAATATTATGTATTGAAACTATCCAAACTGTTAAAATAAAATAATAAATGCAAATTTGCATTTTGGCCTTTTAATATCATAAAAAAGTGTTAAACAAACATAAACAATAACTTTTTTACATATATCAATCATGAAAACCAAGTTTAATCATTCAAAAAAGTTTAATATCATATATTTAAGCTATATAAACTATTAAAACGTAAGTCCTAAAAAGATTGTGTTTGTTTGTATTAAAAATACTTAATAGGACTAAAGAAGATTGAGTGTCTATGGGTATTGATGTGGCTGATATGATTTGTATGTTTGTAATTTTATACAATTAGTAAATTTTATTTTTTATTTGTGGTCGTAGGTTGGTTAGACCAAATCGAATTAAATTATTATCTCTTATGTAATTGATTAATTATTCAATTTTGCTTTCGCTAGCTTGATTGGATTAGAGATTTTTTTGCCTGACAAGTGGTATTACGGTTTTAGTGATCCTTAACAAGTGGTGTCAAAGCTGATTGTTTTAAACATAGGAAGATACAAGCTTAAAGGAGCTCGATTTAAGAAAGTGTTTGAGTTCATGCTTTGACCGATCAATTTGTGTGAAGCGTGAAGACACATACAAAAGATTGTTACGAGACTTTCGTTACATGTGAAGTAAAGCATATCTAGTATAAATAAGGATGATTTTGATGAAATTTGAGTTAAGGTGAAGATTATTGAGAATAGTGACTCAAATCCCATAACATATTTGTTTGAAATTGGCTAGATATTACTTGATAGACAAGAAGACTTGTAGAAGAAGAATCTAAAAAAAAAAGATTCTTAATAGGTAAGTTTGACTTATAGAAGAATAATTCTAAGAGAAAAAAAAGTCTTAATAGGTAAATTTGTATACTTATAAATATGTAAAGTCTCTATAAGTTTAGGTATAAGAAAAATATGTAATAGAGCTGTAGGGTTTTATGGGATAGACATCACATAAAACTATTGGAGATTTACGTTTTATTAATATATATGTTTGTATGTTTATGAGTGGATTAAAAGAAACTGAGAGGATTCACATAGGTATGGGTGAATGAGTGCATATAGGTATATGTTTGTTTAGATTGAAAATATTCTATAAGATTAAAGGAGATTGAGAGTATCTATATGTATTGATATGGCTGATATGATTTATATGTTTGTAATTCTCTACAACTAGTAAATTTTATTTCTAATCTGTGGATGTAAGTTAGTTAGACCGAATCATATTAAATTATTATTTTTTGTGTGATTGATTAATTATTTTATTTTACTTCTGCTAGTTTGATTGGGTTGAAAGAATTTTGCCTAATAGTAAGTTTCTCTTCCATCATCATGAGTTCTACAATTGGAATATAAAACTTGTAAATCAAGTTATTTCTAGTATGAAGCTCAACA